AAACTGCATGCTCAGAATACTTCCAAAAAAATCTAATTAAAAACGTAGCCTTATACGGGTTTTAACAAAGAATAAATTATATATTTTTATATAAAAAATAATTAGAATAAAAAAGTAATTAATTAAACTTATAAGTATATGAGTGTTGTATAGTTATGACCAGCACTATATGTACTAAATGTTTTTCCTTTGACTGAGCAAATTTTGTCCCATAAAAATCTCTTCTGATTAACATAAATAAATTAAATACTTTGTGAAAATTCCACAATTTAATCTTGTGTAGATCAAAGAGAGCTGAGTCTATTGCTCTCATACCTACGCAGTCTCTCATTTTCTTTTTTGACGAGCAAGCACCTATCATATTTATTCTCTCCTTATGTACTTCCATTTTTCCTTCCTTATGTTAGCCATGTTTACCCGCACTCTCAAACGAAGAAATATACAATTAGCTAAGTTACCCAACCGCATATCCGTATTGCCTTTTATTTCATGACTGCTTACCTTAGTTGATTTTGTTAGTTTTAAAAAATCACATTTACACTTTAAAGGTTTTATTTCCTGAATATGGCACAGTCACAAGCAACAGAAATTGAAAATATCTAAATTGAAAATATAGAGAATACATCATTGGCTCCGAATTGCTGCAGGAGCACCATAGATAGAAGATGGAGTCCAATGCTAAAAGTAACCTATTGGATTTATTTCACCTTAAATAAGTCAATTATTTTGTTTGGACTTTAGCTGACAAAAATTGTTAGAGAGGACAGAATTATTTAAGCAATTGGAGTGCAATCAGTAGAACACTTCTGAGCAATCCCCGGCTACTTAATGTTTTAGTTGCTCTACTCAATGCTTTAGTCTTAGCTATTGAAGGAAAAGTTGTCATAGCCCCTTCCGCTACTAGGCTGAGGAGCAATTTTCGAAAATATTGACTTCATAGGTAGGTGGACAGGAGCCTTGCTTACTCAAATATATCAACTGATGAATGAAATGGGCGGTTAGATATATTCAACGGTAGAGTGGGAGAGGATATGTTCTTTCAAGGATTCTACTTCCAACTTAAGTTTTCACTTCCGGATTTTTACAGTCAATTAGCCAGAAGAGGACCTTTTTTAGAAAGGTCAGTGGGTTAGTATTTATATTGATAGCGAAGCTGTAAAAGAGCCTAAGGTTTGATTAGAATCCGATAAAAATTTGTCGGAAATTTTCTGATCTCCCTTTTGGTCGCAATTGATTACTCCAAAAAAGGTAGGTTTGCGTGTATTCGAATTGATTTTTAGAAGGAAACAACAAATAAAAGTTTTAGCTGATGAGTTGGCAAGATATGTATGCTTAAGATCGTTGCTCCTGGGTTGGTATAAGGATTCTTCTGACAGCCTGCTGAATTTCTTTAGACAGTTCCGTGCTAACTTGCCTGGACGAGCAATGGGCGAAAACTTTGATCTAGTATGTAGTTGGAAGGTATTTTCAGATTCTGGTATATACTCTAATATTGACTGGGAAGTGTCCAATCGAAACCCTAAAATCACTTAAAATGAACTTTGAAGGAAATAATAACAAATTTTAAAATTTACAGTACTCGTAAATAATAACTTTATTATATTTCTTTGTAATCACAAGCTTCCCACAAAAATACCAAATCGTATGTCGTTAGCGCGCACGCAGTTAGTTAAAAATTACATAGGCCGAAATAATTTCGAACTGATATTGCAATAACTGTCGTAGAACCACAAATTGAACAATTTACGCACTTTACCGCAAGCGAGCATTAATCACGACACTCAACCATTTTACAATCGGCTGATACGAGTTGCCAAAACGAAAATACGACAAAGTGTCAACAAGCAACAAAAAAAAAAAAATTCAAAAGTTGTAACCATTTGAAGGTCATTTGAAATGTTTGTTTTTGTTTTCAATTATATATTACGATGTCGCAGACCAAAAACGGCTGTTAACCGCAAGAGTGGGGCCAACAACAAAGATGGAGATAGCGACGGCCACTGCGCGCTTTATTGTTGCATTGCCTAACCAAAAAAAAAAAAAAGGTTTCAAAACACTTAGCACTTCGGCCAAACACGCGCTGAAGACAACCATAAATACTGACATAATTTGTCTAAACATTATGTCACTTCGACGCCTTTAATGGCACATGCGAATTAGTAAATAGAAAATGTGAGAAAAAAATAAATTATTAAAGTTCACTGGTGGAGCTGTGCAATTGCAGCAAATTAGCCAAATGACGAAATTACCACAATTTTCATTAATTTTTTATTTATTTAGAAATGGGTTAGTGCAGTCAAACGATATTTCGCTCGAAATTTTCCGTAGCGCTAAAAGGAGCAATTGTTTTAAAGGTACAAAATTTAAATGTATGCAGGTATGTATTTGCTTTTTTTGGTATCCGTTTATGTGTTGGTGTTTGTAGGCCTCAAAAATGAAGTGAGCGACATAAATTGCTGCATTAACCCCAAGCTAATTGTGAGTGCAGTCGGCTTGCCAGTTTGTCGTGATGTTGACGGTAGCGGGCGTTCGCACTAAATAAATACACAGACACTTACATTACACATGCATACCATACATATTTATGCTTGCTCCTTACTCGCACTCTCTCTTTTACCTTGATGCTTTTGACTGAACTTACTCATACTCACTAACTAAATTATGCAATCGAGTTGTTATGCAGCGCATTTTAGTTTGTTGTTAAAAAAAAGTGTTGCTATGGTTTGTATTTACACACACATGTATGTACTTAGCTTGTGTGTGTTTTTTTTTGGGTACATGCATGCACTATATATGTATGTTACATACATATATTTCTGTGTCAGCGGCAATCTTGTGCATCGTCTTCATCGCCAGCGTTTTTTAGTTCAGGGTATTGCGCCAAAAACCTCAACCAGAAGTGTAATTTTGCCATTTAGTTAAGTGAACAATTGAGTAATCAAAATTAAACATCTACATATATTTACTTGTATGTTTCTTCGAACTAAATTTTTTCGCACTGCTCGAAGTGTTGGGAAATTAGGTCAGTAAGACTTCGTGTTTCTGTTTATTTAAGAAGAAATTTCTACAAGTCAAGGGTATTCAAATACAAAAATGTTGATAAAATGCGTTCGAAAATGGCTTGAACACTGAAATTGATCAAAAAACTAACCAAAAACAGAAAGAAGTTCGTAGCTTAACTCTTTTGTTATCAAAAAAATAGTAGACTGGCGCTGTAATCGATTCCAACAAAGAAGGCTAAGTAAAGCCAAATCCTACTTATACTTACACTAAACTTATATTACAGGTGCTATAAGGGATCAACGGGCAGATTTTCGAAAAATTATAAACCATATATTTCAAAAAAAATTTTGAACTGATTTTTAACTGCTATAAGGGACCTGTAATATAAGTTTGCACACAAAACGCCCATATTTTTACTTTTTTAGTTATTTTCATGCAACACTTAAAAATATTATGACTCAATCCCTAAAAAAAATTGGTTTGGTGCAATACCCAGAAAAAAGTTGATTTTTCCCTAAAGTGCCTGGCTGTTTTGTCACATCGCTTTACCAAAAAAATTTGCTAAATAATTTTCAGATGGTAACTCAACCTCAACTATTTTAATTTTGCTGTGACTTTAGCCTAGTAAAAGAGATAGATTAATGGCTCATCAACCGATGTGGATGGTACTAATACCGTTTTAGATCACCAGTTCAATAATGAGTATTATATAGTGGCCATAGCGATTCATAACTGCCGATGGTGTAATAAATAACCCGGCCAATGATTTTAGAAAAAAGTAAATAAAATGAAAAATGGAGCATTCAGCGAAGTATTTGAATGCTTTCCATTCTGGTTAATGTTTCCTCGCTGCGGAATTTTTCTTCATTTTCGTAGGTAACATACAAACAAATGTACAAAATGATGCTGACGTTTGTATATACACATAAATACTCATATGTTCGTGCATTTGTACAAACTTTTACATTTAAAGTTATGTAGTACTTACTTGCACACAATCTTTATTCATAATTTTAAAAGAACGACCTACAAGCTTTTCTACTTTTTTGGCTTACTTTTAATGCATTCAAAGTTAGTATGTGATGAAATTAGTTTTTGTGTTTATTAACTGTTGAAATATTTTTGTTGTGTAAGCTGTAATATTTCCGTTTGTGGGTTTACCTTAATTTCTTCTTCATTTTGCTTCACAAAAAGCGGAACGGCTTTTAAATATAGTGGAGCTGCTCACAGATGCAAGAACTTCCAACATTAATGCTAGGGAATGGATTTTATGGGATTTACCTTTTCTTTTCATTACAAAATAAAATTAAAAATTACCACAGAAATAAATATTTATGGTTGAATCTTTGATGCAATTTACCTTTTTTTGTGTGCCAAAAATGGCTTCATTGTTTATAATTCTTTCATAGCGCCTTTAAATTGTTTGTACAAGTTTTTAGATCTTGTTAACAGCATTTTTGTTTTTTTAACAAATTTTCCGGCACTACGAAGCTACAGCAAACCGATTATGCTTTATAGAGTTATCGTTTGATTAAATGCACTGCACAAAACCACAGCAGTTAGAACTGAGGATCGCCACTACTGTGGTCCTTAACGCCGTGCTGCTGCAGCAAGGAATGCAGTAATACACAGGGCCCCTGGATGCTTTACTGACTCAGGATATGACCACTATTATTCCTCTAGAATGGAAACCGGTAAACTTTTACAAATGGTTGGAAGCTTTACGAAAGGAGGAAATTTTATTATTGTAAACGAATTTAATTTATTAAAATTAGAGTATGCATTCTTTATAATTTCATATGAGTATATCTATGTGTGTGATCTACTGATGATTTTGTTGATATGATTTAATTTGTAACTAAAATAAAACTAATAATAATCAAGTAAAAGAAAAACTTAACTAAATACATAGCTACAATGTATGCTGTGCTGACTAAAATTTCAAAAAAGAAATTATTTTTTTAAAGGTAAATGTTATTAAAGATTGAATTGCACTTTTTAAAGAAATAATATACTAAATTAGTAGATGATATTTGTCTGCGTGCCATTGGTGCTTGCTCAAGCATGCCGCGCCACCATCTCCTGTATCCATTTGGCTGTAGTTTGTATATTGTGATAAATGCCCGGCTGATGATCGACGCCGCAACCAAAACCGGCGCTAGTGATGCCAACCAAAATGAAACGACCACGCTCTTTCACAATTAGTGGCCCACCAGAATCGCCTATAACGGGGTAAAGAAAGCAAATTAAATTCGTAAGAAAACAAACTAATAGTGGTTGTAGTTAATGAGCTGTTGGAGCACAAAACGAGCGCCTAGAAGTATGCAATATTTGGAAGTTAACTTCAAGCAAACTATTTGTAACAGACTGCTGTTAACAGAGCAGTGAAGTGTTGATGTACATTTAAATTAAAGGTACAGTGGAAAAGCGATATAATGAACCTTGATAAAACGAAAAACTAAATTATAAAAAAAATTTTTCCTGAGTCCCTTATAAAAACCGCTATGTTGTGAAATTTTGAGTATGAAAACCTTCGAAACAAATTGATGTCTAAAATCGCCCTAGCGAAAGCCTCCGTCTAACAATGTTTCGACTTTAAACCTTATACCCACTTATAAAGATTTTTTTCAAAATTTTGCATTTTAGTTGTGTTGAGGTATTGATATTCTATAAATGTAACGAAACTATAGATATAACGGAGCATTATTATAACCAACTCAACTCCGTTATATCGAGATTTTACTGTACTTTTTTGATCCTTTTTTTTTAAACTTACCCAAGCACGCATCCTGATGCCCATCCGAGTGGCCCGCACAAAACATTTCGCCATAGAGTTCCACATTGATGCGTTTACTTTCGTGCCAGCGTAAGCAGTCAAAGGCCGCTGGTGAGAGAATAATTTCAAATATTAATGCCATGTTTTTTACTTTCTAAAAAAAAATTGTCCTTACTTATTATGGGTACCGTCGCGACTTGCAACATATTGGTACCTGCATGGCCCATACTCGCTTCTGTCTTGCCCCAACCGGCAATTAGACCTTTCCGTCCAATTAAAGCAATCGGAAATAATGGCAAGCAAATTGGAAGAATGTGTTCACTGGAGTGTACAGAAGAAAAGTGTTTTTCTTGCGGACAATGACATTCACACAAAAATGGTATACACAACTCTCTTACCTAAATCCCGTCGGCTTGGCCAGCTTTAGCAGCGCCACATCGAAGCGATCCGGCTGTGTCATGCGAAATTGAAAACGCGGATGTACAATCTTCATGATAACATTATGCTTCTCCACCGGCAGTGGCTCGTGTATATGACCCAAATTCTGTGTATCCAATTCACCCAAATAGACGGAGATGTCCTGCAGGCGCGCCTGCTGTATGCAATGCGCTGCCGTAGCGACAATATTATGCGACACCAACACACCGCCACACTGGAATTCCGCAATGCGTATATGCGCCTGCCATGGATATTCAGCGAAATTCGCCGATCTTCCGCCAATGATGCGCTTTTGCAGAGTGCGCTGTGTGGCATGCGGCAAGCCGCATTCAGGCTGAAAGTAAGAAGAGCAAAATGTAATTCAAATGTTGCTGTTGTTTTGGTGCGAGCGCTCTGCTGATTTCCAACCAACCTTGACGAAGACATCATTATCGTTGCGTCTTTTCAGCATCACACGCTTGGGCAATACCCCGGCGCCACCAGTGCCGCTAATGCCGCTGCCTGTCAGGCGCTTGTACTCGGTGAGCGCATTGCTAACTACATTAACAACTGGCGCTTGATTGGTGTCACCATATAACGGTCGATATTGAATTGTAGCTTCACCGGTGGCGAAATTGGTTGCTGTGTTGGTGTTGAAGCTACCGCTGTTGCTGTTGCTGTTGCTGTTGCTGCTCCCACCGATGCAGCATGAGAATAACCACTTGTTGGCGCCACAGCCTTTGGCATGCCGCCCGCCTTGCAGCCAACAGGAAAACGACAATTTGCACGGCCACACGCTATTCTGATGTGTGCACTCACTGGGCACGCCCAAAATGGTGTTTAGAATGCCTAGAAAATTATGAAAATCAGTATTAAGTGGACATTCGTCAGCTTTAGAGATGATGCTGATAAAGAAACCAGCAATGTGCTAATCTGCAGATCGTGAAAAAAATCATAGAGAAAATTGCTTTATTGTATTATTTAATCCTTTCGACCCGCATTTTTTCCTGTGACATAAGAAGTTTAGTTTTACCTTTGGTATTGTTATTTTTATTCTAGAAATATTGTGGGTACAATTTTAAGTCGCCACACCCATTACGCGAAGGAATCGAAAGAGTTTAAAATGAAATGAATGAAATCTTCCTAATTTTGTGAAATGCCTTCTTGAACCGTAGTCGGGTAGGTATAGCTGTAAGCTTCCATTCAGTACGTTTTGGGTTCGAAGACAGGTCAGCGCAGACTTTAAATTTTCTATTTTTAGTTTTTATTTAGACTACCTAATATATGTATATATATATATATATATACAAATAGAGACAATTCCTTCTTGAATACATTGAAAAGATAATCCCACTAAAAATAAGAATGCCTTCTTCTTGAAGAAAATTTACAGAGATATATTCTTACTTTCTTCTATATTCTATTTTCGCTCTGTACATTTTTTAACTAAATTGTAATTTCACAGACTATTAGAGTAATATCAAGAAGCTAATCTGCCAAAAATTTACCATACTAAGGGCCACTTTCTCAAGTAACCTGTAACTTTAAAGCTCAGTTTATATTTAAAGGTTTCATTAAATTTTATGATTCTGTCTACAGTAAGTTTTTAAACTAAAAAACATACATTTGTCAAAATCGGATAATAGATATGCCCAACTTTAGACATAGCTTTATTTTTAATCCAACATTTAAATATAAAGTGAGCTTTAAAAATAAAGGCTACTTCAGAACATGGCCCTAATAGAAATATTTATATCTATTTATTATTATATAATTTTTCAATTTTGATAAGGAAAGGAAAATTGCGGTCATAAAAATGCAATGCTTTTCCTAATGCGTTTCCCCGTGGCTTTACTGGTTTTATGGCGAAGCAGAGATTGGTCAAACGCTGTAGCCGAGTGGTTGAAGGTGATTGCAACCTTGTTCCATCGGAAGCGACATTAAATTTTTGGGTATCGCCAACAAAAAAGTACATCACAGACCAGAGGATAAACTCGGTCAAGCACTAAAGTGATTTTTTTTGTTTCAATTGGTTTTGTTTAAGTTTCCATGTTAAGAGGTGGCTAGTACAGCCCATACGCGGTTTGTGTCAAATGATTATGGTTTCCATGAGAAAATTTGACCTTTCCGCTTGCCATAGACAGCAATTCGTGTTCGATGGCAAAACGCATGGAACAATGGTTGATCAAGAATTTGATGTCACTAAAGGCCTATCGATAAATCTAACGGTGTAGGGAATGATATATATATTTCTGAATTAAGTATTTCAGACGAATGAAATGTCGCCTTCTGTACCACGTTATGGGCGAAAGCCTAGAATCAGCACCTGATTGGGTAGTGGGACAAAAGTAGTCCAAAAACTGGAATAGTTTAAAAAAGAAGAACTGTGAAACTTGCCAGACACCTACAAACTTTTGATTTTACACCCGTTTTGCGTACCTTTGCGTACTTAAAAGCTTCTAATTAAGTTGACCCTTAACCGCCGCTCAGTTATACCGATTTAAGAAAGAAGAAGTCTAGATCTTTCGAGTGGCGTTTATGTAAATTTTTAAAACTTTAAAACTCTGCGTATTTGCCCAGAAAATATAATTTTCGGTCACCTTTTTTCAATTTGGCGATGTTCTTACGCACTATTTTATAAAACAACCATACAAGTCCTGAATTTATTCGAAAAGTACGTTTAATAAAGAGCAAAATAAATTTTTCCGTTCAAAAATTGGATGAAAACTGACAGAGTGATTCAAGTTTTCATGAAATTTATTTTTTAGTTTTGTTAACCGTTATGCCAAATTTACACTAGGCATTAAATGGTACAAATTTATATGACAAAGTTGGGCATTAAAGAATATCTGTGCCATTACGTTAAGAAGAATTGTCATTAAATTTGTTTCCATTTGGCATTGTTTAAACAGCATGATTTTTTCGGCATTTTAATGCCAGGTGGAAATTCGGCATAACTCAAAAATTTGGGGTGTGTTTGGCAAATTTCATATTTCTATTCTCGTTTCACTCGACAAGACATAAAAGAAAAATAAATAACTTAACTTCCCAGGTATTTTGGAGTGTTGCACAGTGCCATTCTTTCGTTGGTGCCAAGCAAACTTGTTTTTATTCTTTTAGTTTCTAATAATCTTGATTTATACAATGCATTATTTAGCATCAAAAGAATAACTTTCACTCATTTATTTTTCGAAGTTGTACTATGAATTGTTCAAAGGTTTTATAGATGTTTTTTCTTAAGATCATTAACTTAACATAATATACATACATATGTATTTATACATTCATAGTATAATCAATTCACTTACTTGCATCAACTAAAATGGCTAATTTGAAGAGATCGCAACAGTGGCCGACGATGAGGAGCCACCATAAATTCCATAGGTGCATGGTGTGCTACCGGTTGCGCTCGGCATGTGTGCGTATTTCTAACATAGACGCATGTATGAGCGCTACAAAACACTTTAAATACTCGTATACGCGGATCGGCTTAAATACTTTGGAATTACTGCCTGTGACATGTTCATGCAAATTGATGGCGCTAGTCAGAGCAATTACAGCAATGATCTGCAAAAAAAAAGGAAACAAAAAATTGGCAAACAAGAATGTGGTTATGGTGTTTATGAAAACTTGAAAAAAAAACAAAATAAATAATAAAAGAAGTAAATATATACACTGAAAAATACTTAGCCGAAAGGAAGAAAGATAACTGCAGTCAAAAGAAGAAAGTGAAGTGAGCTGAAAAAATAGCTGCGATTGATATATGCGCATCTTGCGATATGTGTGTGCTTACGTCAGTGTTGCCATTATAGTGTTTTCCGGCAAGATTAAACTTTTTTAAGATTTTATTTCTTCGTAAATAATTTATTTTAAATATGAGTAATGAACATTAGTATATACTTTAAATGCGATTTAAAGTATTTATTGGATATGGTATGAGAAAGAAAGACGACTCATGATTTGAAAACTCAGAAACAGCTGTATTAAGGAATCAGTGAAGAAGAAAAATGAATAAATATATTTTTGCTTTCGAGATTCAATAACCACATTTGCAAGAAATTTTAATTAGAGAAATACTAAAATATTAGATTCGTGAGTTCTAAAGTATAACATCTTTAACGAAAAGCATTGGGTTGGCATAAGTAATTCAACTTGGGCCAAATTGAAATTAAAGAGCGAGAGCATTTAGAAAATACGAGTTTTTTGTATAGGCATTTCAGTTTTGCATGAGAAGTTAACTTAAAAAAAAAAAAAATGGTTTAAGATATTTTGCAACATGCAGCTAAGGATCGAGTTTTTCAACAAAGAGAGATTGTCAAACTTCTTCAAACTGTATACAAAAGCTACGCCCAACTTGTAATTCGAGTGAGAATCTAATTTGCTATAAACTGCCTCAGAATACGTAATTAGTTTAACTATTTCTTAGTTGCTAAAGGCCGCTTCGGTGTAGTGGTAAGCAGTGCGTGCTTCCACTCCGCAACGCCTGGGTTCAAACCCTGGTCAAAGCAACGTCGCAAAAAATATAGAAAAAAGGTTTTTTCTTAACAGCGGTCGTCCCTCGGCAGGCAATGGTAAATCTCCAAGTATATTTCTGCCATAAAAAAACAGCTTCTCATAAAAATATAATCGCCGTTCGGAGTCGGCGTAAAACTGTAGGTCCCTCCGCTTTGTGTGACAACATCAAGGCGCACGCCAGAAATCAGAGGAGAAGCTCGGCCAAACACTAACATATGTGTAAGCGCCAATCTATTATTATTATTATTTTTAAAAAAGGAACATGTAGCGAAGTAATTCTGAGACAGCGAAGAGTATAATATATTTAGCTAATAGTTTTGTTAGCATGATCCTGAAAAGTTAGCTTAGAATAAATGATAATACCAAGATTCGTAACTTTTTCAACTAGTTTAAGTGGGTTTCTTAGTCAGTTTTTCCTTTGACTATAGGTAATACATATTTATGATTTTGGTGCATCAATGCGAAGAGAGTTTTTCTTCGACAACTCAAAGATGGAGTGCAAATCCTCATTAAGCCTGTAGCTAAAATCTTCGACCAACCCTATCCTGTTTGAGGGATACAGTTGAGCGTATCAAGAAGTATTTACATACCACCATGAAAAAAAAAAATAGTCATACTTTCGTCATTTGGTATAATATTTTTTGCAAAATATTTACATATTGCGAAAAGAAGTTGTTCCTTATAAATATGCCACACTCCATAGCCCTTTAAATATTGATACTTTTAACGACTCTAATTTTTGGAAATTTTACTTATGTTTACATACATACATAACTATGTATGCGTGTGCAGAAAAAACGAGAATTCACAATATTTCTCAGTGCATGTATCAATTAAAACTTCGCACGTTGCCAACGCTAATGAAAGCATGACAAAATATGCCCACCGCATTCACCTGTCTCCAGCCGCCAGCCACCAGTCGCCAGCTACAACAACTATGTAAAATCTTTTAGCTGTTGTCATTGCTATTCTCCGCTGGCCCATTCACACAATCATTTTTAAGTGTCCCGCTTCACTTGTGTAAATAAAAATACAATACTGTATATATAAGCATATATGTATATACATATGTATGTGCACATTCATTCATTGTTTTATTGTTATTACTTGGGAAAATGTGTCGCTGTGTTCAGCTGCTCGCTAACTTGACGACTCAAGTCAACTGTTGTTGTTATTTTTTGCTGTTATTGTTGTTCGCTAGCGGCAGCAAAACTTTTAGCAAACAAAAAATTTAAACAAACATGCTTGCATACGTGTTTTGCTCTAGATTTTTGCATCTTTTGTTGGTTTTTTTTTCAGTTTTATCATTTTGCTTATAGTTAACGGATTTACTTATGTCAGTAATGTTACTTACGTACAGAAATATGCACATATATGTATATAGTACAGTAAAATATATATAATGCTAAGATGAACGAACTGGTTTTAATCTGAACAGGTGTCATTTGTTAAGTGGTTTCAAACTGGTCCAAAAAAAGCACTTCGGATTACCCCTAATCTCGCGCTTAACGACATGTTAAACATAGTGCTCGTGAATACAGCAGACAAAGTTGCTTCCACGCACACCGTAGCTAAGCTAAGTTGTAAAAGTGTTTGGTTCGTTTCAAGCTATGGACAACCCGGCCTCCTCAGAAAATAAATTGAAATTGTATACCTACTGGGCGTCTGAAAGAATCCTCCACCACCCACATTTCATGCATCGCACACAGGGTGGACTGGACGGACTTTAAATTCTGAAGTCATGAACCTGTGAACCTATTCACGGATGAGGCTGGTTGGAGATGTAAGAGACATCTACCGCGAGGAACTCTCCAGCAACCTCAAATTTACGCTCTCCCATCACTTCAGTGTTTTCGAAGCACAGGTGAATGAACCAGCGGACTAAATACTTAAAAATATAATACCTTTTAAGGAGATAAACCTATATTCTGCTAGCGAGGTGGAGAAAGCCTAATTTATCTCTCGATCGCATGCATTTTCTTTTCTATTTTGTGTCCAGGCCGCAACGGTATCACAGACAACCCTTGACGAAGCTTCGGCGAGAAAGGAGAGGAAGAATTCCTCCTGGTCGGATGAGCTTAACGAATTCTGGGCGAAAACCATGAAATGCAAGGTAGGTAAAGCCTTCTGGCCACGGGTTTACCGCTGGTGGTCAAGCGAGCTCTTCAAACTGAAAAAGTCACAGTGAGTTTTACCGGTCACAGTCGTTTCGGCCTTCATGCGATATGACTGCACATCAACTCAAGTGAGGTATGATGGACTCATCTCAGCATCTGCTATACGGCTTTTGTCGAGCATCTTCTCAAATTATTCTAGTTTTGCACAAATTTTATTTACTGCTGGGTAGCAGCTAACAAACCTCGTTGCTATAATGGTAGTAAAAGTTTTCATACACAGCTTTGTTAGCAAATTCCAAAGCCGTTAGGTCTTAAAAATTTGTTAAACACATTCGTTTATTTAATAAAGGGATTCTGCATATGTTAACTATGCTGTATAAAATTAACTTAAACAATTACAGTTTTAAGGTAAAAAGCCTCAGTTTGCTCGATAGTTAGCAATAAAAGTCATGTAGTAAAAAACTGTAAATGAATGTAGGTACTGGTATCTAAAGAAAATTTCTGCCTACGATAAGTGAGCTAATGGGCGGATCACTAGGCCGCATCTCTTAGTAAGCCAACCATACCAGCTAGAGAACTAACCCCTCCTTCAAAGCAAAATACCAAACAAAAGTGCTTTTGGAAAACCAATTGTACAGTTGGCAGATACCACTTATGATAGTATGTATACCACATTCATAAGACCGATTGAAAATAATGGATCTATGGTCTGGTGGAAAACTCTATACCGAGAGAACCACTGGAAATTAATTAATATAATAATAATAACAATAGATTGGCGCTTACAAATATGTTAATGTTTGGCCGAGCTTCTCCTCCGACTTGTGGCGTGCGCGTTGATGTTGTCACACAGACGGGGGGACCTACAGTTTTACGCCGACTCCGAACGGCGATTGTATTTTTATGAGAAGCGGTTTTTCATGGCAGAAATAGACTCGGAGATTTGCCATTTCCTGCCGAGGGACGACCGCTGTTAAGAAAAAACCTTTTTCTATATTTTTTTGGGGTGTTGCTTTGACCAGGGCTTGCTGATGAATGAAAGCGCGCACTGCTTCTCGAAATTTCTCAACATATTGGTAGATAATGATATTTTTCCAGCAAGCGCTGCGAACTTTCTTTCATGGTGTGGTCACTCTTAGACTTCAGGAAGCCAACATATGGAGACAACCTAAACTGGGAAACTTGGCGATACTGAGTGAAATAAAAATAGGCGAGATTAATGGAATCAAAGTGGATTTAATTATATGGTATTACTAACTATATTAAGGAGGGTTTAGACTTTACTATCTGGATATCATCATGGTTTCTGACCAGAAAGGAATAAAACGAAGGGCTACTAGTGGCAGACGATGTTGTATTCATCAGGAAACCACCGTCCATCTCTATTCAAAGGACCTGCGATCAGTCAGTATTTTCACCTTCCAAATGACTACAGCGTGTTGCAAGCATTAATTTATGCTATAGAGAAGGCAGCTATTCGGGACACTTTTCAATTGCACCAATGCTTCAGCGAAGGCAAATACTATCGAGTGCTCTTTGTAGAAACTACCACGAAGAGAATTCGGATGAATAAATTACCCCTTTCTGTGTTGATGCGATGTCTAAGACCGCATTGGAAGCGCCTTCTTCGCCAAAATTTTAGAGGCATCGGAGGTAGGATTCTTGGACCGCCGCGCCACATTTGACGTCCACTTACAAAAGGTACTCACAATGGTCAACTTTGATTCAAATTGGTAGTGTGGAACTTTTCGTACCAGTTCTGCTTGCCTAACTTAATATACTCAGTTTTAGTTAATTTTGAAGTAGCTCCGGTAGCTTTTTTATTAATTTAATTTTTTATCTTGATTACATGGAAAGTATGTAGACACATAAAAATGTTATATTTACGGCGACGAGTATTATTTATGTATGTACAGTTTTGTGTAAGGTAAAATAAGTTATAACAATTCGTTTTGTAAAATATTTAAATTAATGAGTTTTGGATGGTTAGTACAAGTATGTAGATTGGAAATGACACAAAAAAGATTGCGCAACACGCAAATTTAACTTTGAGTAGTAGATTGCAAATTTGTATTAAGCTTTTATAGATCGGATAATTTTTCCAAGATATTTTAATTTTTATGAAAAAAACCCAAATTTTAACATGGAATAAATTAAAAAACAGATTTTGTGTATTTTTTTTTTCAATTTGCATGAAAGCCTCTTCTTTTAGACAAAAATCGAGCAACTAACGAAGAAAATCGGTTCATTACTAAAAAAAGTTGTGAATGTTCAAATGAAAATGCGTAATTTTTTTCTTGAAATATGAACTGGACAGAATGTTGCTCATACGTTTTGTGCATGGCCATATCAATACAACAGCACTTAAATTGTGTACAGGACAGCCGCGAAAATTCCAAATTTTTAAACAAATTTATAGGGGTCGCTTTAATGGTTTGAAAAAAATTATTTTTTTAAGAGCGAAAATTCGAAAAAATTTTGACTTGAAATCTGATAAATTAACATATTATTGAAACTTATTCATATAAATCCATAAAAGCGCTAAATTATAGCTGGCCAAAGTAAAAGTTGGTAAAATTTTTGCGATAAAAAAATTTTTTTTTTTTTAAACCCGAGTAGCGTACCCCATTTTTTTTTAATTTGAAATGTAGAACAAAATAAAAACATTCCTAATGATGATGATATTTTTAAGGACCACCCTAATGGTGGTATGTACGTATACTAGGGTGTCCGCCATACAGATTTACAAATGATTATGGGGAATTACTTAGAAATGCAATCTTTACTAAAGATAATTAATTACTGCAAGTTGTAATTAAGAACTAAAACCGTGAAGCCGCATATGAATACTGATAAATTTCGCTCACACAAGTACGTAATAAATGCTCATCTCCGCCGATTATGTGCAATTGAATCTGTGAAAATTATTTTTATAAAAGCGAACCTTGCGACTTGAGCGTAGTTAGTATTTTGAGCTTATTCAGTAAATAACTTATACACATAAAACCTACGGGCACTACTGAATACTGAAATGGGGAAAAAAGTTTGCCTTATTTTACTTTTTACTTTTTTGAGCCTCGTCACGAAGGCAGCAGCTCGTCCACAGGGATCAGGTAAATGAGGCTAAGTGCCATATATTTAAGCAAGAAATAATAAATTTTCTTATTTGGAAAGATTCTACTTGTGGCCCAAATGCAAATTTCACAAATTGCGGCACTGCTTGTCCATCTAAATGTAGCGACAATCCACTGTTGGGAACAATTTGTACTGATCAATGCGTAGTTGGCTGTCAGTGTAAAGATGGATATGTGCTGAACGATGCTGGAAAATGTGTACAGAGGAGTGAATGTTGATTAAAGCTCCCTTTATATGTTTGAGTGTCTCTGTTCTTAAATAGTCTCTTGTAAATTGTAGCTTTTGGCACGCAATTATTTGTAAACCAAAATAAAAAGGTAAAATTTGCAGGAGCAAGGAAAATTTAAATAAAATAATGGCTTAAGTCCTGGGCTGTACAAACTACTTATATATATATATGTATGTTTAATGAAAGAAAGGCGAAAAACACTATTGCAATATTTTACGCTTGAAAGTTCAATGTGATCTGCGCAATCCACAAAAAAATTCCTCTGCCATATGCGTCAACTATAGCGAGATCAGCCTTCTGTGCTTCGGCTAAAAGGTTTTAACGAACAAAAATATACAATACTAATTGGCCTTATCAGTGTTGCTATAGATCTGGAAAATCACCATTCGCCAAATATTGTAAAATACCAGCGAGAATAGGATCGACACGAACCATAAATTTGTAGATTTCTAAGCCCCTTTCTATAGTAAGAATCGATGTCTGAAGTTGGTATTCCCGAGAAACGAACCAGCAGCGAAGGACCTTTACGAGCCGTTTGATAACAAAGGGGGTTTCAGACAGGGTGACTCCCTTTCGTGCCATGCCGGGCCACGGAGAGATGTCACCGGCGGGCCTCTTGCATTGAAATCCTTTTTTATTAAATCCACGGAATCTTTGTGGTGGTAACATTGGCAGCAAAGACTTTCTAACCAGAAACCTGACTATGCTTTCTCGAAAGTATGTGACGTGCTGAATCCGAATCTGCAAATATTTTAACGTAAACAGAAAAACCGCTCTTGTTGAATTTACTGAGTTTGCCATTCGTAAATAAAACGGAAGCTGCGTGATAGTAAATAATTCTTTTAAAAATAGAAATTTTTCCAATAATTCAAGTTGGCTTTTGGAGGGAGTGAATAGTATTCTTAGATACAATGATCAGCTATTTAAAAAGAAATATATATATCAAGGCATATGTGAAATGACATGTAGCAACATGGGGCCACTATGACTTCAGATTCGGATTAAGCACCTCAAAGGCTTTCAGAAAATATATTCAATATTTGGTTTCTGGCTAGAATGTTTAATAAAAATTTGCCGGCCTATTCGGTTTGCGTAATTTACTTAGTATAATAAATTATTACAATCAGCTGATTAAGTTAAGTAATATTCTGACGAGTTTTGGCTATTTTTCTTGTGTTTATTTAATGTTTACAATTTTTCTATAAAGTTCTAGCGCATGAAATAAATAGCACCTCATAAATACACATTTCAAATGTCGTACAAAAATTATAAAAATTTAACAAACTTTACCAATTACACCCAAAAATTTTAAACTTCTTAATCAAAATTTTTAGAAAAATTTAAAATATGCAGTTTTGTAGCCTATTAGAGGGATAAAGTGCGAATTTCAAAACGTTAGAAAATCGCGGTTTTAGTATTTTTGTTAGCTGACAGTGTCGTCAATTTTGTTCTATATAAAGTATGCTTGACAATTTCTTTTATATGCAAGAAAATGCCTTGCTTAGTGAATAGTCTTAAAATGTTAAATTTCTTCGGTAGGAACCTCTACACCCTAAGCCTTACAGAAAGATACTGTTTACTTTTGCAGGATTCAAAAAGAAAAACTGAATGTGGATTCAAGGTTCATATTTCCTATACGGCAGTCAAGATAATGTAGAAGAGTTTTTGCTTAAACTGTGTCGCAGAACTTGAATATATTAATTCTTGTGGTAACTCACCAAAACTGTGTTTTCTTGTTTTTTATGCCATTTCTGCATTCTTGGTGCACCAATGAGCTTTGATTTTTTAAAACTTAAGATCCCCTATTTAACTCTTTACGTTGGCAGCTTCCTAATCAAGCGGTTTCCAGCGCTTTCACTTTTGTTATCAGTCACCAGAGAAAATTCGTTTCTTCTTATCATATTTCATTCAAAATTGTATTCCGTTTTTTTTTATTTGATTACTGAAATTAAGTCGGGCCCGGCAAAAGAATGCCTTCCTCTTCCTCTGCTACTACCTACGGGTACCAATGTTAAATACTTTCAGAGCTGGAGCGTTGCCATCCATACGCACGATACACTGAGCATAAATGCTTTCAGAGCGTTTGAGATTTAGTGCGAGTACGAATTTAAATCTTTCCATACTTGCACCAACTTTCACTCATTGAGAGAGCGCCATTTAAGTTCTTTATTTCTTCTGTAGAATAAATAACCTAAACATGTGCAAACGGCAATTTCGTTGCAAAAAAAATGTAATTCCCATCAATGCAAAGTGGGAAAACCTCTGAGTGAATTTTGTGCATCAGTTGCGAGAGTTGTTGTAAACATTTATTTGTTAGTGAGTGCAAGCATATACATATATACGTATTTATTTATGCACATTAGGGTGGCTACGACAGCAAAAAAAAATCAATAAAAACAGTACGATTTTTTAGCCGGACTTCACTTTTGCACTTCATTGGACTAAAATTGTATGGGCTATAAAATTACACACCCAAAAATGTTTATGGAAATTTGTAGAATTTCCTAAGTTTTATATATATGTGTGGAACTGTGGTATAGTATATGGTTAAAGCCTTGAAAATATTTGTATAGAAAAAAAAGTTTAACTCGAAAAACATTGTGAGTGTTAAAAAAAATCAACATGTGGTCACTTGTTTGAGTCACTGTGTTTTTTTATTTTTTATTTTATTTATTTTATTTTTTTATTTGATCGCTACTTTTTGATGTTTTGCCTTTGGACCGCATAACAACTGTTATTTTCAGATTTCCCTTTCTATATACTATGTAAGGTATTTAAAGCGGTTGGAGCACGCGTAATTGGAAAAAATGTGATAGATAAAATTCAAGCGAAAAAATTTAAAATCAAAATATAGCAAAATTTTGCACAACTTCATTTACTGTACTTGTTTACACCAAATTTTGGGAACATCTCCAATGCCGTGATCCAGAATTTACAAATAATTAGAAACGATTATCTTGAGCTCTCGACTTTTTATATGATAATTTTTATTAACTTTTATCAAAGATCAAATAGGGAAACACATTTTTTTGTATTATAAATGCTGGTAAAGTTGCACACTATATAAAAAATTCAGTCAAGGATAGTATAGCGCAAAATAAAACTAGAAAAATAATAATCACCCTAGTGCAAAACATACATTTATGGGTATGTACGTGTGCAGTGAGTCGTTAAAAGTGTTAATATGTTTCCGAATTTTATGAACAGGTGTAAAGATAAAACACTATTTTGTAAAGCTTGACACTTACCTAGGACTTCGCATTAGGGTGCTCTTTGTCGATTTTTTTGGCTTGTGGGTAAAAAAATTAAACAAAAAGTTTTAGCCCATACGCGAATTCTAAGAATCGTTTAACATCCAAATGCAATAAGCTCAACAGAAATAATTACTTTTAGATTCTAACTTTATGAAGACAGTAATGCACTCCAATAAGTTTTAATTGTACTTACAGTATCAAAAAATTAGATTAAGAAGCTCACTTTTGGGTTTTATAATGAAAAACATTTAGACCTAAATATAGCTATCAAGCAGCACAATACTTTCCCACCCATATTTATTTTCGAGTATCTCATTAATGTATTTACTATACATATGAATGTATGTACATATGTATGTATTCGGAATCATCTGCGTGCTTGACGCTCTCAGAATATTTTGTTTTGTTTCTATAAAGTATAAATAAGAGTGCAGTGAAATGCTGCTACAACTAAAGTCTTTCTTAGCTTCTACGGCAAACTACATAACACCACCCGATTGCTGCTTTAAAAAATGAACAATAAATTCAATTTGCTAATTTTGCTCCTTTTGTGCTTCGTTGCGTTCATAACAGCTTTACCGCAGAGAGGTAGGCGAGCAGAATTTGACATTAATTTAATTTACTAAATCGTTTAAATATTATTTGAAGGTTGGCGCCCCTGTCCACTCGATCAAGAGTTCACAAGATGTGGCTCCGCCTGTCCACCAAGATGTGATGACCGAGGTGAGCCGAGGATCTGTACACTTCAATGTGTAGTTGGTTGTCAATGCAGACCTGGCAATGTGTTGAACAGCGCTGGGCGGTGTGTAGACCCAAGCAAATGTTAGCTGAATTAAAAGGTGATCAAGGAGATTGCATAAATCATACGCGATTGGGTTACTAATTATGTAGGAAAACGCAAAAATTTTATGGATATGCAGCTGATATTGAATAAAACGTGACCGAAAATATTGCAAGTGAATATAATTTCTTAAATGGAGAGAGTGTCTATTTAAATTTCGTCAAACAGTTTGCAATGTTGCATTTTTAGGTATTCCACGCTCTATTGAAGCTAGTCTTTGACTGATTTTATTTAATTCAAATAAAAAAATGTTTCTTTAATTTGATACATAAATTAGTTTCAGTTAAATATGTGGCTGCTTCTAGTGGGATCAAGGCAATGTGAAAGCTTTCCATATAACTACGCGTTCTCGAAGGGCATGTTGATATAAATATGTACATATATTTCCGTACAGCACTAACTTTATACTTTCCGAGAAACCAAAAAAAAAACAACACAACGTCATAACCGATTTAGTTCCGATATGTATTTGACGAGGAAATGCGAAAATTCTTCACAAAAGAAAAAGAAATCAAAACATTCGTACAAAGTAAAACGTATTTCAATCATTTAAACATATACACATGTTGTTTTTATAGTTATTCCATGTATGTACTTATGTATGTATATATGAATTGGTAAATGCTACGGCTTTCTTTATTGGTTCGTTGTGTTCACGGTATATAGGCAAATCCCTGTGTTTGGACGTTTCTTTTCTCAAATAAGTGTAAAAGAAATATGAAATTAATTAATGTATGCCTATTGTACTATGCCATTTTTGACACAAATATACGAGAATTTGAATTGCGTGGATTTATTTCATTTTTAGATGACTATTTCCCGGATTTACCCATATACAATTTTGATATTCGGTACACTTTCGAAGTGTGGTAGAATGACAACATTTTTACTTTCATATGCTTCTCAAAGAACAAGCATATGAATTATAAAGCTATGTAATCATCTACGTGGTGGACTGTAAGGAAGACAAAATTGCTCCTAGATCGCAGGCAGACTTAAAACTGACTACTGACCTGAGGAAAAAAAGTTGACCAACAGAAACAATTTTAACAAGTAAGAAAGTCTAAGTTCGGGTGGAGCCGAATATGAAATACCAGGCTGTATCAATTTTGAGTAAATAAGCGTCCTTAAATTTCGAAATATTGAAGTTTCAAGCATTTCTGAAATTTACCGATATATGAAAAGCGGCCGTAATTTTAGTCCGATTTCAATAATTTTCAACGTTTTGCTTTTATGTGGCAAGCACAATAAAAATTCCGAGTTTGGTACAAATTGGTAGAATGGTTACCGATATACATATGTATATGTGATCATAAGTGGGCGGTGCCACGCCNAGACATGGCTTAATCGATTTCTCTATTCATTCTGAGCATTTATGTATACATTTGTCTATATCTATCTCGATTCGTTTTGGCTGTTACAAACAACCGTTATGTGAACAAAATTAATATACCCTTGTTTCATCTAGTCATCCTAATAGCTCATTTCCACCAAACGCTTAACTGCAGTTAAGAGGTCAGATAAGCTACAATAATTTTAGCGAGAAGTTTTTTTTTCTTTCCTTTACTTGTACTTAATATGAGCAACCACCTCCTTCGTGTTGTAATTTGCTTTTTCCCATAGACGTAAACTGCAGTTAAGGCTTGGTGGAAATGAAATATAAATTACTATAAATTAAAAATTCGCTGCGGTACAACATACCACATCTATTTATTATTATTTTGCCCGTACTTATTAATATGAAAGAAAGGCTTAAAGCGAATACCGACTTGTATTTTACCAAGATCAAATTTGAAAAAATTTAAAACTGTATGTGCAACAAAATCCACGGCTAGTTAATGAGCAGAAGTAATACAAATGAGAGCGATAAAACATTTGCAACGGAAGCAATCAAGCAATCCGCTAATATGTCAAGTGAGCTCGAAGAAAATTGGTTCTTGTTTTCATTGCAGAAGATAATGAGGACGAAGTGATTCTCCGTCAATTAAATAGGGAAGTGTGCCGCAAGAAAAACTTACACCCTGTTTTCTTAGAGAGGGCATGAACGACCATTTGCAAAACTCCAACCTGACCCCGACCCATAGGCCCCTATTTGTCTCTAGGTAGTCCTTAGTAAAATGGTAAAAAAAAATATTTTCACTTCGCCGGCCTCATTACTTCTTTCGCGCAGAACTCCCTTTCGCATAGTGATTATACATATTACCTTTGTCACCGTAGCGTCATAGCCGGATATTAATTGTATGTTATTATAGCTTTTTTTTATAAAATTAGTTAATATTAAAAAATAAAAACACTTTTAAACCAAAGTATTTTCAAAACACCTATTCTTCAACAACTAGTTTACCTTACCAACTACAATAAAAATAGGTCAGCTTAGTATATGTTTTCATTTGGATTCTAAAGTTGTAGTCTTGTATATAAAATTTAACCAGCTTTCGAGCAATTAAAAAGGTGCAAGTTATTTTACGGCATAATTATGTGGAGAAAGAAATCGCTGCGCAATAAAAAAATAGATTAATCTGATATTTAAACCAAAAACTCATAATTGCAGGTATACATTAACATACATACAAACATACGTACACATTATAAATGTGGGAACGTGTGCATTTGTATAAGAATTTAGATTGTAACAGTGTTTATTATTTTGGGCGCACGTAACTACGTAGCAATTTTTCGTTAGTAAAGTTTCTGACACTCCCGAATCAGAATTACGCTACACAAACAAACTGTAACTCACGCTTGTGAAATTCATTCAAAGTAGATTTAATTGCACAGAAAATTCTTACAAAATCACTTTAGACATTAACAATTTTTTCCCGTCGACTACAAATCTAAGTAATCAACTTTTCGACGCATAACAGCTTTCACAGAGTGGAAGCGCACTAGCTTACGCACAGAATTATTGAAGTAGAAAGTCGAAAACCCGAACCAAACGCGTCAGACCACAGAATCAGACTGATCTTGCAGCTTTCTGTTGATGCTCAACTGTTGTGGTATCTAGCGATTGTGCGTGGCGGTTACCTGTTGCGCCGAGAAGATGCCATGCGTGCTAATCTAAGGGGAAAGCATAGAATAAAAACTCAGAAACATAGCTTATGTATGTATGTATGAACTCTCGCGCACGCTTGTGTATGTACGTATTGTGTGTGGTTGCGCAAAGCGAGAATCTTTATCTGCTTTACGGTGGCCAGACAATGGACTATAGGTACTCCCTCTTTCAACCACATATGCTCCTCATCTTAGAGTTCTTATTGCAATATGACAAATGTGTCAAATATTTTATCGCATAGATATGTAAGTCTCTGGTTGCTTGTTGCATGTCCAAAATATGCGCACACAATTATGATTATGAAATTTTTGTTGCAGTTATTTTATTGCTGTGCTACGATGTGCCACTGGTGTGAATAAAGTGATTTAATTAGTGTACAATGTATGTGGGGATAAATCAGTAAACTAGAAAATACAGATTTGCAGATGAACTATTTTTCACCATGGGAATGTTCTGCGTGCAATGAATATATTTTAATACATATAACAACATACATACATACGTACATACATACCAGAGAACAGCTTTGAGTATGATCGAGCCTTTTTGATCACACTCACTAAAAATCAAGCACAAGCGAACGCCACACTCGGCTACTATGTGTTCGATCGAGATGCATACCCGACAGCTGCTTTGGTTACGAACGAGTCTGTTCGATCACCCTCGCTATAAATTGAGCACAAGCGAACACCACACTCGGACACCCGCAGCTAACCCGAAAATTTGTGTAACAATGAAACGGACACCCGAACATTGCGATAAAATGCAGGACAACAAAGAAATTTACGCTGAAGGTAACTGGCGCCAATATGTTCCCACAAAGCATACGAAAATGTTGTTGCTTTGTGC